CAGGAATGGAGCACGGGAGTGCGGGGACTCGCCTCAGGCTGTGCAGAGCAAGAAAATGAGCTATAAAATGAAGTCAGACGCAGGCTGGGGCACCCGGGTGTATTTCAGCACTAGCCAGTCCCAGGTGTGGGCGGGAAGCTGCTTCTCAACGAGATTGGTGGCAGCGGGGGGACCTCGGCACGAGCAGCCGCTCTCCTCCTCATCCCGGCACTGACTGTGTTTCTCTTGGCAGTGCTGGTTATCCTCAATCACTACTTGGCCTTCCAGTACTTCGCGGAGGAGTATTACGTGTTCTCCGAGGTGAGACAGACCCGCCGTCCCGTGCCCTTCCGAGCAGCGGGTGGGGGAAGGGGGCAGGAGGCATTGGGCTCTGCCCGAGCTCAGGCAGTTGTCCAATGCACGGCGAGTGTTTTGGGAGCTTCCCTAGAGGGTTTCTCTACTTAAACACAGTGGGGACACTCCAGTGTCATTCCTGGACCCTTCTCTGTGGGCCTGGCGCTTTTTGGGCTAGCTGAAGGGCAGAAATATGGGTGCAGGGTTTTTTTTCTGACATTCTGCAAGTCAGGCAAAGGAGAATTTTTCTTTTGCCAGCTGAACACGAATCGCGTCCTTTTTGGGATAATTGCTCTTGCTATTTTTGTGTCCCTGATCTCCTCGCTCAGCTGTCTTGCCACCCTTACACTGACCAAGCGACAAAAAGACTCAAAGGGGCCTGTTTTGGCCCAACAGTAGCTGCCAATTAATGGAAATTAGGAAAAACCCGAAGCCCCTATGAAATGTAGCCCTTTCTCAGTGTTTTCTGTGCCGCAGGCGGCCGGTGTGGGCTGGCGCAGATCATCCCCTCCCAGGACAGAGCTGGGCAGTAGTCTCCTAACGAGCTTTTTGGGTGCCCTTCCTACTAGTGCAAAATTCATGTCCTGTCCCAGGGGAGCAAACCCAGGTCTTGCCTGTTGCTTTTAGGCCTGAGGAGGGTTTTATTAGCCATAACAGCCCAGCCGGTTTCCTCTTGGTTTAATTATGCTCTGTGCTCTTCAAAATCCTGCTTTCTTGGGTAGAGCAAAGGCTGTGGGAAGCCTTGGCTGGTGAGCAGGGGTTTCTCTGCACGGCTGGGAGCTTCCCTGTCCTCCCTGGGAAGCTGCCAAGTTCTCCAGCCCTGTCCCCACCACCCAGGACGCCTGTTTCTTGGCTCTGCGGGAAGGAGAGGTTCGGTGACAGCTTTCCCACTGCAGAGCCCCCTGTATCCGGGGGATCTGGTAGAAACTTAGGGAATGTCGTGTGGAATATCCGGGTGGGGAGGCGGGAGGTGCCTCAGAGCTGCCCTCGGTGCTGCTTTGCGCCTGGCCGCGGTTGGGGCTGTCGCGACAGGGCTCCCCTCTGTGCCCACAGGTTCTCGCCTACTTCACCTTCTGCCTGTGGTTGATCCCCTTCGCCTTCTTCGTGTCCCTGTCGGCCGGAGAGAACGTGCTGCCCTCCACGGTGCAGCCGGGAGGTGAGTGCCCGTGTCCCGGCAGCACCGGTGCCGTATGCAGGGAGCCCTGTGCGCGGAGCGGGGAAGAGGGGGCAGCTCAAGCCGGGTGGGGTGAAACCTCCCCAAAGTGCCGGGGAAGGGGCTGTGTCTAGCACTACCCTGTGTGCCATGTAGGCAAGTGCATGGAGGGATGTTCCGGGTTTATTTCCAATCCCGGTGCTGCCTTATGGAACCGTGTCCCTCGTCCTGGGGCGCGTGGCCCTCGCTGGAGGCCCCCTTCATGCTAGAGCTGCGGAAGGGTTTGAGCTTCCTGCAACAGGC